CAACCCCTACTAAAATGTTATGTCAGGGCGTGTGCAGTTCATCAAATAGTTTAATGATCCTATTGCTTGATCGTTTCCATAATCTTCTTCTCCTTAGTAGTCTTAGGATACATGTCCTTAAGAAATTTATACCCTTTCTCATATGGGGTTCCCACTGATTTAGATTCATCCATTTTAAACATTCAATATATTTACAAGATATAATTATTGGCTTAAGTACAATAATCTTCTCTTTTTATCTCTTGTAATTTTTATGCCAAGAACCTGTTCTAGTTCTCCTAAGTCTTTCATCTCAAATTGTGAAGATAACCACTATTTGGTATGTTTAATAACCATAGGATTACTACCTGTAATGATAATGTCATCTACATATAACGCGAAAATAAGATGACTACCCTTACTACTTTAGATGTACACACAATAGTCGACACTAGTATTAACAAAACCATAGATCTAAATTATAATTCTCTCATAATAAACTGTAGCTACATCACAGAGGAGAAGATGAGAAATATGGGGGATGCCCTCTTCTTATGGTAGCTTTTAACAAGGTCCGAACCCCCTTGGCTAAACAGTTCACGACCATGTTGGACTCCCTAAAAAAATGTGAAAAAATGTGCGAACAATTAGTCGCTAGGATATGATTACTCCGTGGGTTTTTTTTTTTTGGGTGAGGGGAGAGGGGCCTTACCCTTTGTAGGAATTGAGACTCCATGGGTTTTTTTTTTTTGGGTGAGTCAGTGCTAACCAATTAAGCTTGAGCTCTTTTCTTGACTCCATGGGGATTTGTAATGCTTATGAATAGTCTCAACTAGAATTTAGGAGTCACTCTCAATATGTAATGCAAAGCATTGAAATTGAACTGCCAAATGCATCCTAGCCTTCAGAGCCTTGTATTCTGCATAGTTAATGTCATTGTGAGTGGATTAGCGAAACCGGTTGCTCTATGTCATCTCTAAGAGTGTCCCCTTCACCTGTGACCTCGGGATTTTGTATGGAAGTGCCATCAATATTTAGCTTGAAAGAATTTGTAAGGGGAGGATGCCACAAAACCTTCAAATTTTGCCTTAGCTTTCTGCTGATGCCAGAGGGTTTTGAGATTTTGTACGTTTGGTTTTTCAAATGGGTGAAAGGACCATGACTTGGCATCAGCTGAGTCTCTTTATTTTTGTACCTACCCCTATGCGAAAAAATGTAATTTTAGGATAAAAATACCTTATAACCCATGTTTCTCTCACTACCCCTCTTTTTCCTAAATGAAGTCAGTCGGAGGCATAATGTATCGGACTGGCTACTAGACTCTATTGAAGTCGGTCCGATACATAGTGTGTCGAATGGGCTTGTGCTCCCTGTTGAAGCTAGTCTAATACACATTATGCCGGACATACCTCATTTTAAAAAATAAAGAAAAATAAGGGCCAGCACATAACTTTGTACATGCAAGATTGGATTTTGTTTTCTTTGTTTCTTCTTTTTGTCCATGAAAGAAACTTGCATTTTAGGGGTTATCTTCATCATAAAAAAATACTATTTTTTTACTTGGGGGTCAGGGCAAAAATAAATAGCATCGGGTTAGTAGTGCGATATAAAAAATATCGGAGGTGTGCATGCCTTAAAAAGTTGACTGCCCAAGAAATCAACAAATTTTTTTTTTTTCTTTCTTTTTTTAATAAAAAAAATCGGTTTAATACTTACAACATCGAATCAAAAGGTAAATATGAAAAATTTTAAAAGTGAAAAAATAGGACCTCAACATAAATTTTAAGAAAATATGGAGCATTACTAATACTATAAATGCTAACTTTTTGTTTTTAGTTTGTTCATATTGTCCCAACCAAAAATTTTGTCTTGCGACATACCTTATAAAAACATAAAAGGTTGATATAAAGTGTCAACCTTATTATAATAATAAAGGGCACCTCAAAAGCCCAATAAATATTGTTTATGGTGGAAAACCCTCCTCCCAACTTTTAGATGGATAGATATGAACAAAATAGCGCTTTCTAAATCTTGAAAACAATACATCTTGTGACGTATTACCCAAAGTGTCCATTTTCAAGATTTCAAGTATTTATAGATCCACTTGATCTACACTAAGTTTGGAGTTTTGAATTTTACAATTGGGGGTGAACAAGATTTACATGCCATTGTAGAGCTTTTCGGCACTGGAACAAAATCTTTCAATATAATTTGAAGGTGGCCCTGATTTTGATTGTTTAAGGTATGCACCTTGTACTAACCACACCCTATGAAATAGGACATTGATAGGGGCCAGGGGTGGCAATCAACCCATTCACTTGGGGGGTTGGGTCGACCCCTACCTATTCTAGACCAAATACTAGACCCACTGAGTCCCTTTGAATGTGTTATGATGGGTGAATTTATCAAAAATTTATTAGTTTTTATTAAAACAATATTCTTTAGAAGTAATTTAAGTAAGTGTATATTTTAAATTTTCACAAAAGAATAACAGTATTTCGAAAGTTATAAAAATGATGAAAGTATTACTTATGATTTAGTAATAGTTACATATTCACCCTTGCTTAATGCACTAGTTGTTGGGTTTTTGTGACCATTTAAATACCTAATGAGAACATATAACCAAATTTACTATAGTGAAACATTAAACTCTAGTAGCAGTGTAGTCCAAAAGAACGAGATTCACGGATGATGCTTGCTGAAACTCAAACTGGGTTTAACGAGCTAGACCAGGCGAATTACAAAACTCTAAATACCTGGGCATAGAGCATAAATTGATTAAGTTTAACAGGATTATCCCTTGATGAGATCGAAGTTGCCTAAGGTAAGGAGCCAATGGACTATGTGACCCTTGTACGTGCTTGCCTCGTCTTAAACCTTCATGTACATATGAAATATGTATCGGGAAAGTAAATCACCATTAAAGGTGATACGTGTAAGCACATGTCTGCATGACATTGGATTTGTCCCTAGGGGAAACTTGTACTTCATAGACTAGGATTATGTCCCTCACCTATTGGCTGGCTTTCGTAGCTTAATCATGAACCTCTTTGATAGTCTGTAGGTTATGGGAACTACTCGTTAAGTTTAAGAAAGTGAGGGTGGATTATAGTTCTCAGCAGAATATGGAATGCTTTAGCAAAATTATTATTTTCTTAATATAATAGGATCTAAATCCCATCAAATTAATTTAGAATTAATTATTTTGATCTTCAATGATTTTTAGATTAATAGATTGAATTTTTAGAAATCTCTAGATATTTTATTTTCTCAAAATGGATTTATAAAATATCTAAAACTGAATTTTCAGTATTTTAATGTTCTTTAATGTTCAGATAAAATAAAATACTAAACAATTTTCTACTTCTATAAATTATGAAACACATGAAGGCCCATTGTGGTCATTGGGCCCACTATAATATGCATGTCAGAAGTGTGTGGGCCCGGTTTCTATAAGGTTGCAACCTTAAACAATCCAATTAAGGTGCACCTTAAAATTTTATCATAACATTTAATTTTGTCATAAAAAATTATTCGTATTATCTTAAAATCTATTTTCATACCTAAATAAAAAATTTTAAATTTAAAAAATAGTTAAAATTAAGTAGATCTATAAATATATGAAAATCTTGAAAATGGACAGTCTAGATAATGTGTTGCAAGATGCACTATTTCCAGGACTCAAAAACTTTTTTCTTTTTTCATATTCATACATCTCGATGCCGATATGATCGGTTAGAGTGTTTTTTCAATATTAAAATAACACTTTCGATAGATTTTTGAGGTGCATATGCGATTCTATATTCTAAGGTTGCAACCTTATATAAATTGTTCCCTTGCTAAAATGATAGCAAGTGAGGATCAGTGAAGTTCCTTTTTTTTTTTTCTGTTTTCTAAAAAACCAGAACTATAGTTTATTTTCTAGTAACTTACTGACAAATTTACTGGAAAGAGACAGATTTTTAGTTTTTGAAAAACCGAAATTGTCATGTTTTCGGTTTTTCAAAAACCGAAAACTATCTTTTATTTTCTGGTAACTTATTGGAAATAAACAAATTTTTGAATTTTGAAAATCGAAAACTGTAAATTCGGATTTGTCGAAATCCAAAAATTTATTACTTTTCATTTTTTCAAAAACTGAAAGAACAAATTTTTCGGTTTTTCAAAAAACCAAAAAGAACAGTTCCGTTTTTTTTTTTTAAAGTTGGGTAGTTGAAAAAACGGGTATACATGTAATAACAGTAACTTTGTAGTAATTCCATAATAACGTTAAATATAACTGATATGTGAGTATACTTGTAATAACGAAAACTTTGCAATAATTCCATAATAACGCTAAATATGCCATATATATATATATATTATTTTTTCTATAATATATAATATATTTTATTATTTAACATATATTATTTATATAGTGGATATTTACAATACAATATATTATATATTATTTTATATTTAATTTAAAAATAAAAACAATTGTTTCATGTGGGCTGGACTGTATTTCTACAATATACGATCTAGAGGTATAAAGAATATCAATGTTAAAGATGGATGTGAATAGGTGGTCCATCTGAAAACAACTGTAACTAACGGTCCAAATGTTTTTTTAATATAATTATTATTTCTAATTTTCTAAATTTGTTTATTTATTCATATTCATAATCTACATGCCAAAGAGTATACATATTTTAAAAATTAGAATTAAATTATATTTAAAAGATATATTCATTCCCAAGTCGGTATTTCTACAATATACGGGTTGGCTCCATACTAACCGTGTCTTAAAAATAAAATCTAATATATAATTTTTAAATAGTATTTAAATAAATATAAATATATATATGCGAACCGGTTGTCAAACCGGTAGTTAGGATTTCTTTAATGTTTCAGTCTTCTTTTTGAGATCTTAACTTCACAACAAAAAGAAAAAAAAAAAATTTTCAATTTCTAGGGAAAGTTTACACTGTTATCAAATGGGTTAATGATAGTTTTTCCGAGTTTGAAAAATAAAAAGTAAAATTGAAAACAAGCCCAAACCCAACTTTTCTCAAGGCACTGTTGGACCCTGTGCCGGAACTTTGGTGAAATTTCACGGGGCGCAAGCCCTTCAAATTCTACAACGCGCGCATCCGAGCCTGCCAAAACTCATCGTCCTTCCACGGCATCTGCAACTCTCTCTCTGGAGAACTCTGTCCGCTCGTTCTCCCTCTTATTTTTCTCAATCACTCTTTCTCAAGTCAAGGTTCCACCCTAAAGCCAGAGCTCCTTTTTTTGCCGTTTCAAGCCCACTGTGTCAACTGCAAACCGGGTGTGTTACACTGTCGAATTTGCTATAATATTTTTAGGGGATTTAGGGTTGTGGTTACTTAAATAGGGTTTGTGCGTGGATATGGCTTCTCAAATGGATCTTTTTGGGATTTATGGTAGCTGAAATGAGGGTTTTCTCTTTTTTATGTTTAGGGTTTGTAGTTGCTTAAATGCCGAATTTTGCAGTTTATTCGGAATAAGGATTCATGATCCCTCTTGTTTATATTTCCTTCTAAATAATGTTTAAAGTTTTTTTTTCTCTTTTTTCTTCCTCATAGTAGGGTTTGTAGGTTAGCGTTTTACTCTCTAAATTTAAGTACAATTTTTTTTTTTTTATGTAAATCAACTTCACAGATTTTTCTTCTTCTTCTTCTTCTTCTTCCCTTCTCTCTCAACTAATCAACTTCATTTGTAAAAAAAGAACAAAAGAAAAACATATTATTTTTTATGGCATTTTGTTTCCCTATTTGATTATGAATCTGAACTGGTTTGGTTTGTTGTTAGATATTGGTTAACAGTCGTATTATCATCTAAGTCTATATGGAGATCTTCTGTTTTGAGCATCGCTTGATATACCCATCCAAACCAAATGAAAATATCAGTTTTTCTGTTGATCTGGTTTATTTGGTTTTCTTTTTCTACATTTGATTTAATGTCTTCTTTCAACTTTTTATTGTTGTCAGTGACTGAAAGTTTATTATGATGTGGTCAATGACTGAATTTGTTTTTGGTTTATATAGATATAAGAACAACTTTCAATCTCAACTGCACATTTTATAAGAAATGCATTGAATGGGTTGTAACAATAAAATCAATGAAATCCATATGAATGGTTAAGACATGCCGTTTTTGGCTTTCCCAATACCAAACAGGTGAACATACCAGCACTACAGTTTATCAAACAGGACTCCCAGCTTTCTGGCCACCAATTTTCACTTTCCTTCCCAGCTTTCGGGCTACCAATTTTCACTTTCCTCCCTGTTCTAGGAAATTCAGCATCATGGATTCTCCTAGGGAATCTGCAGAGAAAGTTATCAAGTGGTACCTTTGTTAATTTTATTTTTTTCAGTGATATACGCCCTCCTCCTCTCTCTCATGACTCAGGATATATCCATTTGCATTCTTTGTGTACGACAGAGTTAAGCATGGCGACTGAATCAGAGGGGGAGGATGAGGGAAAGCTTCCCGGAATCCTTAATTTGGTGGTCGATGATGATCTAAGAGAAATGGCGAAGAAGGCGGCCTGGAGTGTGAGCTCTTGTAAGCCTGGCAACGGCGTCCACTTCCTTAGAGATGATAATTTAGAGACTTACTGGCAGTAAGCTTTCTCATCCTACCTTTTTCTCTCTCTAGCCATGCATTTCTCTCCCTTATTAATTTTTTTTTTTGAGAATGTTAATGGTTTGTATTAAAAGAGTAAAACAATTAGAGTCGATAGCACCCACAGACCGGGTCTCTCAACCAAAAAATGGCCACGGAGCAGTGGACCTGTACAAAAAATGAAGGGCTAAAAAACCCTCGAAAAGAAAAAAAAAGATCTGTTCAATAAAGAGGGGCTTATAGAACACGCCCTTTTAGAGGAGAGAAACTATGCAAAAGGAAAAGGGAGTGCTTGCATAGGTCTAGAGCAAAAAAGGAGATGGACAAATGACCAAACCAAAGTCTAAGCAGATATGTTGCATTTATACGGGGGTTGCAAGTTGGTTCCGAGCAGATATGTCACATCCTCTAGATATGTATCCATGAGATGTCTATAACCCTGCAAATATGCTCAATTTCGTCAAAAATATGGGCCAGGTACCATGGAGGAGTGGCCTTTCTAGAGGCTCAGGATATAATATTTTTGGCGTATCCCTCGACATGCAACTGGAGACAAAGGTTGAACTTCTTGATACCCATCGAAAGGGTTGTAGCCTCTGCAAACTACGAGTCTGCGTGGCCTAAGTGTTTTGAGTATGATGCTAAAATATTGCCATTATGATAGCATAAAACCCCTCTGGCTCCAGCTGGGCCTGGGTTCCCCAGGGAGCATCCATCGAAATTGAGCTTGATGAACCCAATCGTGGAGGCGACCAATTGTTTGCTCTTGAAACCCGAGGGGGTGCCAGGTGAATGAGATTCTTCCAGTCTCGAAGGAATCTAGCAGCCGAGATTCCAGCAAAAGCTTTGTGAATGGAAACCTAAAAGATTACCAGCGATGTAATCTTGTGAAAAAGAGCTGGGAGTTCGCTTTTAATTCCACAGAAAATTTTGGAATTTCTTTCGAGCCTAATTACCCATAAGGTAGCTGCTAAGGAAGCTTTTCAAAGGATTATGGTCGACAACAGCTAGTGAGAATCGAAAGAATAGGTTAGCAGTGCCAGTATAGAAGGTGGGTTAACCCGAGATACTCCATAGACTTGTATAATACGGCTCCAAAGTTCAAGGGCTAGTTGGCAATGGATAAACAAATGAGAGTTTGTTTCTTCCTCGCAAAAGCACATCACACACCTGTTGGGAGTTTGGATTCCTCTTCTTTGGAGGAGGTCTACGGTAGGAGCACGTTCAGAGCAGGCGATCCAGTTAAAAGCTTGCACTCTAGGAGGTGCGATGGAGGACCAAACTTTGGATAATATTGAGTTCGGGTTGAGGGGGAACGTGGGAGGTTGCAGCTGTCTCTTCTAAAAAGAAGCTACAAAAAATGAGCCAGTGGGGGAGGGGGTCCAGACAAGGGTGTCCGTCCCCGAAAGGGCAAGGAAAGTCGAATGGAGGGATGCCGAGAGAGAAATGAAATCCAAAGTTTCTTCTTCTGAGAGGGAATGCCTAAAAGAGGGATTCCAGACCCTACGGATATCGGAGATAACCATTTTCTCCAAGACCAGGGAGGATTTCTTAATTCCTAAAGAGTAGAGAGAAGGGAAGAGATCTCTTAGAGTGGTGTGGCCCAACCAATGGTCGGACCAGAAGCGCACTCTAACCCCTTCTCTTGCATGAAAGTGAATAAATTGGTTAAACAGGTAATGGGAGGTCGAAACAAATTTCCAGGCACTTAAGCCCTTGGTCGTAAGATTGCCCTCAGGCAGCCAAAGATCCGCGAGATACTATATTTGCTTCGGAGAACTTGGGCCCACAACAAACTGTTCTGGGTGGCCAGCCTCCACCACCATTTGCCCAATGACACTAGGTTGTGTTTTCTTAGGACTCTGATCCCCAGACCTCCGTGATGTGTCGGGAAACACACTTTGTCCCAAGAGATACGGTGGATCTTTTTTGACTCAGTGTCACCAGATTAGAGGAAGTTCCTCATCAGTTGGTCTAGGCGTTTAGCTATTGAGGCTGGTATGTGGAATAAGGACATAAGGTAGACCGGGGAGTTGGTCAGGGTAGCTTTGATGAGCGTAGTTCTCCCTGCGAAGGATAGGTATTTGCCTTTCCATCTTGCCAATCTTCAGTCTACTCTATCGATAACATGAGACCACTGACTCTTCTTTGGCTTCCCTATACCCAGGGGCAAGCCAAGATAAGACGTGGGTAGGTCCTCCCCTGTACATTCTTAGCAGGGGATAAGATTCCGGGGTTGGAGGTTGGAGAGGCCCACCCCTATCATTTTGGACTTCGCCATGTTCACTTTGAAACCCATGGCATACACGCAAAGTAAGTAAAAAACAACCTAAGGTTTTTGATTTCCTCTGGACTGCGTCTAGGAAGGCTAGTGTATCATCTACGTATTGCAGATGGGATACGCATGGACCATGTCTATTGCTTTTGAAGCCAGAGAGGAGGCCGACCTGACACTTGCAAGAAATAGACTGGCTGAAGACCTCCGCAGTAACAACAAAGAGGAAGGGTGAGAGAGGGTCTCCTTGGCGGAGGCTCCTCGAGGACGAGAGGTAACCTTTCGGGGACTCGTTGATGAGTACTGAGAAATATGGGTTGGAGTAGTAGCCCTTCATCCACTTCCTCCAGCGCTCACCAAACCCCATCCTTGACAAGGTTTGGTCGAGTATTGATCAGTCTACGTGGTTGTACGCCTTCTCCCAGTCCATTTTAAAAATGAAGCCCGACTTTTTGTTGAGGTGGCGAGAGTGCAAGCACTCATGTGCCACCAACACACGATCAAGAATTTGCCTGTCCTTGATGAAGGCAGACTGTGAGAGGGAGATGATGCGGGGAGAACTTGTTTCAGCCTAGAGGCCAAAACTTTGGAGAGGATCTTATGCGAGAAATTGACCAAACTGATTGGTCGAAAATCCTTCAATTCTTTTGCCCCTTCAACCTTAGGTACAAGCACTATGAAGGTTGCATTTATGGCTTTATGGCTCAAACCCGTTGGGAATGTAGATTACGATATGGGGATCCGTGTTCCATCCTAGATCCCTTGCTAGAAGTGTGGGATTGAGGTTTCGAGTGGTTCTGTGACCTTTCCTACAAGGTTCTGGCAACTATGATTTATATAGATAGAAAGTTCAATCCTTATAGTAGTAAGACAAGTTCTTTCTTTTACTGGGTTGGCCTACATGCTCACAAAATGAATCAATCGAGTTAAAGGGCGAGTGACCTCTCAAGAAAAAAGCTTGGTATACTTTGTGACACAATTCGGTTTGGTAAGGGCAATGTCAATTTAGGCTTATTCATTACAAGGTCTTGGAAAATATGATTTTACAAATCATGCAAATTATAACCACGTGGACCATATCAGTAAGATTTGAAAAGCTTGATTACACAATATCATTCCAACATCAAATGTCCTGTTATCATTTGGAAAATGGGGAGTAGATGAATGGTTTGACAATCTTGTCAATTAGGTAAGGAGTTTTAGGAAGGTATTTGGTTTCTCAATGGCTCTCATCTGGTTTAAAAGTATTGCTCCTATTGTTTCTGTTCAGTCAAAAATTAGAATACGCTCAATTCATAGAATACTCTCCATTCTTCTGCATATTTTTATCGTGCAAATAGTCCATAATATTGTAATCCAATTTGATCATTACCTAGTGTCAACCGTGTGGTCTGAGACAGTAGTGCTGTAGGTTTATTAATAAAAAAAAGAAGGAGAAAAGCGCAGATCGATGACTACAAGTTATGCTGTTAATCTAAAATCCAAAGTTTATGCTTATTTGAATTTGAATAATTAGTTTTGCAAATACTTGCTAGTACACCATTATGATAAGTCCTAATTTTTGTGTAATTTCTGTGCAGTATTTGTAGTTCAGTGAATTGAATAAATAGTTGTTAGAGACAAGCCACAAGGGAAATCCTTTCTATTGATTGGAGAAGCATCTTTATCACCCATTCCAATATTCTGTTAAGTCTATAGTAATGGCTAATTACTAATTGTGATTTTCTATCTTCGCAGTGAATCTGTATGTGGCGCTGGCATTGCTTTTGGTTTATTGTAATAGTATCTGGACTTCTTGTATTTGTAAATGTTATACTTTAGTTTGGAATCTGAGGATAGCTTAAGTTGTTTGGGTCCAAAAACCTCAATGTTTTTTCTTTTCTATTATTAAGTTCAAAAACTTGGTGTTTAGCATGGAAACTTATTTCCCTCTCATACAATTGTTTCCAGAAGCGGACCACAAAACAAGTTGCAGTTGCTTTCAGAAAAGATATTGCATGCAAGAAACATTGTGTAACATATGGTACTGTGTTTTACTGCAGGTCTGATGGTGCTCAGCCACATTTAGTGAATATTCAATTCCAGAGAAAAGTGAAGTTGCAGGTAAGTCATTCATCAACTGTATATTCAAAGAACTTTTCTGCTTGTAGTTTCAAAGTTATCTGATGCATATGAGCTGAAATTTCTTGTGAAGTTACTCGTACTCTATGTAGATTTCAAGCTTGATGAAAGCTACACACCAAGCAAGATTTCTGTTCGCGCTGGTGATGGTTTCCATAACTTAAAGGTGCCTGTTGTTCTTGTGTTACATTTTCTCTTTACCAGTTCTTGCTTTCTTAAATATTCATTCTTTCCCTACTTTATTAGTTGGTTCTATATAATCAAACTTTGCTGAGACCATTCGGCTTTTTGGTTTGAAGATGATTCTGATAAGAATGTTGCACTTATATATATATATTTTAGTCAAACTGTACTTAGATTGCTTTGTATAGTTATGTACTCGGTCGCATTTTAAATTTGTTTGCTGCTTATCATACTCCACTCCGAAGTTTTTGAATATATGTGCCACCAAAATAGCTGCCTAATAATCCCTGTTAACTATCATCTCCAGATCCAAAATCTGATAACCAATGAATCTCCATAAGCAGTCAATTTTTTTGTGACCATTCTGATGGTGATCATGGTACCGTCCTCAATTGTTAAGTGCATAGGACATGCTACTAGTACAACCTTAATATAGCTCTGAGCACAAGCCCTTCCAACCCAACTTGAATCACCCTTTGTTCTCTCATCTGCATGGCACATTACAGACCCCAGTTATCATCTCGGCTGCCTGAATCTGAATAGGGGTTTTACTCTTGTTGAAATCGTCAACATTGAGCTTTGAAACAGTTCTTCCCTCATGGAGTTCCATTTGTCTGGTATCTCTTTACTCTCTTGTGAGGGGTGTGTTCTCACCATAGTGGTAGCCTCCTTCATGGGCAAGATGATAACGTGTGTTAAATGGACATTAGAAGTGGTTATTAGTTACATTGGAATTTGACAGCAGTGGGAAGCGATAGTTTGTTATGGGTTCATCATTCAAAGAGCATTGGGAAATATTATATGCATGTCATCTGCTGCAGGCAGCAGGAATGGGAGCCAGATTGATGTGAAAGGAGTCTGAAAAATTACCAGCGTTATTTTGGTCTTAGAATACACATGAATCAACAACAAAAAGGAGAGAAATATAGCTGGAAATCAAGCCAAGAGGAACAAGATGCTCTTTTCTTCATGCATAAAAAATTCTTCATAAAGAATACCAAGTTCAAGTTTTCTAGGGAACATTCCTACTTTAAAGGCAAATTAATACCCCACAAAAAAAACACACTCTCTCTCTGTATCTCATGTTAATCTCGCTCTCTATCCCACATTAATCTCTCTCATTCTAACTTCTGCCCTTAAATTCATGTGATTACCCCCTCTCCCTTCCTTTCATATAGAGATAAAACTTCCCCATAAAGAAAGCATCCTAATAAATTCAAACTTATGCTAAAAATATAAGGTTTGACTAAATTACTATTCTTGTCCTCATACTAAATATAAATATCATCTTTGTTCCCCTATGCTAATACTACCAAATTAAATGAAAAAAAAATCTACGTATGTCCTTGGACCACCTACCATAATAAAATAATTAAAAAACAAATTGTCCCATCTTCTTGAATTTAATTTGCATCATCGCCCTTGAGTTGGAGAAGACTTGACTTAGACGTGCTGGCATCACCATCGAACACGAATAGATCTCAAACATTGAATATTGGACAAATATTCCATTTGCTTGGCAAATTCTACCTCATATGCATTGTCACTATTCTTCTCCTTGATTTTGCAAGGTCCAATCTTCCTAGCTTTGAGCTTTTCATAGGTGCTAATTGGAAACTGTTCAGGTTTGGGATATACTATCATATGATCTTCAACATCAAACAATTGCACACAGTAGTGATGATTAATAACATCCTGGTACTCGTCAGAGCTCTCCTCCAACTTTCTTAGAACGTTCTCATGCAACTCCATATATTCAGGCATGCTCACAACATTTGGATCAACAATCGCATGTGCAAGTAAAGAAATTAAGTCATGAAAATGTAAAGGAGGCATACAATAAACAACTGTAAAAGGAATTTTTCTAGATGACCGATTTGGAGAATTATAACATGAGAACTCAGCTTGCAATAGCACCAAATCCCACACTTTCACATTTTCTCCAACCAAACTCCTTAGCATATTGCCAATACTTTATTCATCACTTCGATTTGGCCATCTGTCTGTGGAAGATAAACACTTATGAGTTACATTTTAGTTACCATTCCCCATAAAGTTCTCCAAAAATCACTAACAAACCGAGCATCACAATTTGAGGTAATGATCTTGGGAAGTCCACACAATTGCACTATCTCCTTAAAGAAGAATGAGCAACCAGCATAGCATTTGTGATCCTCTTACACGGAAAAATTGTGTCATCTTAGAAAATGGTCTACCACTACCATTGTTGAATCGTAGCCCCGTGCTTTCCTAGGCAATACCATAATGAAATCCATAGATAAATCAAACCAAGGCCTAGTTGGAACAATAATGGCATGTAAATGCCCATGTTTTGAGAGTGCTGTTTAGCCACCTGACACTTTGTTCCCTCTGCTCCATCTCCTAACAAATACCCCGGTTAATACCCCGGCCCTGCTCCCTCTCCTAACAAATATGAGCTAATTATTAGCTAATGTTGAGCCATCCTCAATAATTAGCCACTTCATTTTGTGGCTTCTCTTATTGGACTACGACCAGTATGGCATGATTCTTTGCATCATAATCATTATGTGAACTTAAAAAAGGATTCAGTAATGCTTCCACTAAATTCTCTGTAGCATCTTGCATAATTTTGTGAAAAATCCCCCGGTACCATTATACTTTGAATTATCCATATTTTCTTTATACCAGTTCACATGAGGGGCCTACCATTTGACTTTGAAGATGTGAGTTAGCTTTACCATAGTCCTTTGGATATGCCATGGTTCCCAAGTCCCCAGTTGGTGTCTTTGGATTGGACCTGCACAGAAGCGCTAGAGCCTTTTCTTTGATTTTGCACCTGTATATTTTTATGAAGTTCTCCCTATGTATAGTTTGACCTTAGATTCAGGCTTTTCTTTCTATCCATTAATCACATCTCATACAGGGCAAAGTAGACATCTGTAGATGATAGACCTTTCTGAAGGCACATCTCCTTTCATTTCTCCAATCCATTGTAGCCACTTGCATGCACATATATTTTGATTCTAAAATGTGTTATCAGTGATCTCTACAAATTTTTTTGAACTCATAAAAAACCAATTTCATGATTCTTCATCTTTATCCTTATGGCATAAGACACATCTATTAGCTAACAGCAGGCCCTTCTTTTTCAGGTAATCTATATTAGGTGATCTACCTTAATAGGCTAATTATGTATACCATGCTGTATGAATTTTTATTGGTTTCTCCCAAATTGTGGCTTGGGTCTTATTCCTTGGCGGCTTTAGCTCTTAGTGCTCCCATCAACTTCTGGATGATAGTTTGCCATTGCTTGCATGGATCCAGAGTAGCTTATCTTCATTCATACTGTGATTCATCTCCAGAAACTTTATTTTATTTCCCAAGCTTGTATTGGCTTAACTATACTAGGCGGGGGAAGCTTCCATCACCCATCTTGTAGGGATTTGTTGACTCTGAGTTCTGCTCCATCTACCCATTTCTGAATGATATTATACCCATAATGTCAATTGTTTTGTTAACATTATGAGATAATAGGATGCAAAAGAAGCCAATAGTTTTATTATCTTTTCTAGTCTGTAATGAACAGTAAAGCTATTATATTTTCCCATTTGGATGCAATTATACATTATGATTCTCTCGACACTTGTTGAAAGGATTCTGGAATCATGTAAAGACGAACTCAAGTGTTAGCTAGAAACACTTCATGGAAGAGCCAAGTCTAAGCTCATCTTCTCAGAAAAGTGTAGAACAAGTAGTCCTACAACTCTAATTTCTAAATATTTTGGTTTTGGTTCATCTTTAAATACCAAATGAATCACAAAGTAGCTGTGGCTGTCTGACAGGTCAGACTGTGATAGTGAAACTCAGGTGGCTCGTTTCATTTAAAAGAAATATCTGTTGACTCAACCATCATTTGTCTGGATTGATTTAATGCTTGAGGGCCCCCATTTGTTTTTCAAAGCTGCCTTTTAACAGCATTTATGGATTGCAAACAATCAAAATCATCACAATTAACCTGGAAATCATGCTTGATATTTGGAAATCATGCTTGATATTTTTAAGTGTGAGTTATCTTATATGATATACTTGCCTATTTTAGTTATGTTTTCATGGCATTGAACAACCTCTCTTTTCCCAGGAGATAAAAATGGTGGAACTTAGGAAGCCAATTGGATGGGTCTCCATAGCGTTATCTGGCACTGATCCTCGGTAAGCCATATTTTTCATGAGTTCCCTCTACAAATTTGTTAAATGTTCAAAATTTCAGACTTGGATTAGGACTACTTGAGTATTGAACTTGGATATTTAATATTATTTCACTGTTTTCTATAAGACTCAATTAGATACCTGATAGGTCCTACAATCACAATACGTCAGGAGCTTGGAAATCCTTCTCCTCGGTCTTGCTTTTCTTCAAAAAATTTATTAGATTCCATTTGAGAGAGGGCACTCGGGTCAGTTTCTGGGTCTGATTTATGGCTAGGCTCCACTCCACTAAGGGAGGCTTTCCCTGACCTCTACTCCTTGGCTATCAATCAAGAAGCTACTGTGGCTGACGAATTGATTCTTACAGGAGATCATAGAGTATGGAATTCTTCTTTTCGGAGAAACTTAACAAATGAGGAGTTTATCACTTTCCAAATTCTCTCGTCTGGCCTGCGCTCTCACTTCATTCCTAACCAAGGGAGAGACGTTTTGCTTTGGACACCTACTTCTTCGGGAGTATTCTCGGTGGCCTCTTTTTAGAAAACCCTTGTGCAGCCCCCCACTTTCCCGACCAATGCCATCTCGGCAGTCTCGAAAGTATGGTCCACTATCGCTCCTCACAAGGTCAAAATTTTCAGCTGACTTGCTTTCTCCCACAAAGCCCTTATTGTGGATCACCTCCAAAAGAAAGGGATTCCCATCCCTAACAGATGTGCTTTATGCCTAAAAGATGAGGAGTCAAACCCTCATCTCTTTCTTCACTGTGATTTATCTTTTGAACTTTGGGGGAACATTTTGCTACTATTTGGTATCGAATAGGTCAGTCCACCCACGGTAAAAGTGCTTATCTCCTATGAGCTCCACTCCCCTTGGCCAAAGGCTGGCAGAGCCCTTTGGAAGGCAACAGTAACTGCAGCCTTGTGGACCATTTGGGTGGAAAGAAACAACTGTATTTTTTGAGATGAAAAACTACTGGTTTCAGTTGTTTTGTACAAGGTCGTATCCTCAGTCTCTTTTTGGGCCTCAAATCACAAGACCTTCTCGGGGATCCAAAGGATCCAGTTCATCCCACAATGGAAGAATATTCTCCTCCACCATCCGCCACAGCCACAAAGATCTAAACTCTGGATACCACCCTCACCAGGAACCATCGAACTTAATCTTGATGGTTGCTCCTTAGGGAATCCTGGTCTGGTATGAGTAGGGGGGGTTTTTAGAGACCTCCTAGGCAATGCACTTCTTTCTTACTCAGAGCATCTTGGCATTATGGAAGCACACATTGCTGAAACCTTGGCCCTCCTTCAAGGACTGAAAAAGTTTAGTTCCTCTTGGGGTTTCCACCTTATCATAGAAGGAGATTCTAAGAATGTTCTCTTGTGGGCTAGTAGGGCCTTCACTCGACCATGGTACCTAACCTCTACATTCGATGAAATTGATCATCTTTGCAGGGATATGGACGTCTTATGGCGGCATTTTTGCGGACAGTTTGGCGAAAGGAGCTAATAGGCAACCACAAAATCAAGCCGGGATCGTCTCGTTTTTTGCACTAGATCTCTGGCACAGCTCGCTTCTATAGCACTTCACTTGGCTTCTGTTGGCCTCCCATATTTTTTGTATTTTTGTAAAGCTTCATGTAAAATCGTCTCTAAGGGAGGCGTTATAACGCTTTTGTATATAATTCACAGACTGTAATTTTCCAGTCCACCCCTTAGGGGTGAACTTGGCCTCCTCTCTCTTGTACAATTCTTACCCATAAATACAATGTTAACTTCACTCAAAAAAAGAAAAAAGAAAAAGTTAATACTAAGATAAGACATACCTTTGGGGCGAGACTTTGCTTGGTCCATCAGGCTCCACCACCACCAACCCCCCCCCCCCCAACAGCCCCACCCCCTGGGAGGGTGGGGGATGGGGAGGTAGATTTTTTGATATAGTCATCGGAAACGCTTGTGATTTCGAATTGTTTCAGGAATCAGAATCATGGAATTGCTGGTGGCCAGATAATTCCAAAAGTTAGAATCGCTATCTGTACAATGCATATCACATGAAGTGGGATTCCAACCACATGGTTATCGTGCTTCAGTCCAATAGGAATTGAGATTATTACCTTGTTGTAATCATGATCCCATCAACTTGGAAACAAAATTTTGAACTTATGGGTATCACATAAAACCACTTGGAAACATGTCGAAAATTATCAAGAAATGAGTTCCAAAAGGTAAAAGATTTATGGTTGAGATCATCTATAAGCAAGAATTCCTTAGTATTGGACTCCATATATTGAGTACGTTTACCTAGAGCTCCCTTATTATTGGAATCAATGTCTTTGACAACCCTCTCCTAACATTAGAGTCGATGTATTAACTGCCCTTTATCACAATTCCCCACAGAGTATTGGAAACAAGGTCAAGTACTCTTACCTAAGTACTTGCTTAGTGTTTTTAGATTCAATAAAGATAATGAAATTAGTGTACTTATTAAAACAAATTCTCAAAATTTAGGAATGACATAAACTAGGGTTTGTGGACACCCTTAGAGTGTTTAGATACCCATCATATATTGATTATTAATAAATTTTAAATACCAAAATATTTCAAATAATGTTTAAAAAATTCCAAGCATTCCATAGAATTTTGGTAATCATTTTGATGTTGTGAATCTAGATTCCAAATATCTTTGATCGCTATTCTTAAGAATTGGGAGTGTTGTCTCATATTAGTTGAATCACGGTCTTGTGCACTCATGAATCACAAAATTTGGTGAGGTGGAATCTAGATTTCAAAGATATCAGAACGAGATTCAGAAAGTGTGGAATTGTGATTCCTAGTGTCTAGGAACCAGACCTGTGGCTATTGCATCACAGAAACATGGATTCGTGATTGTGGTTGCGAACTAGAATCTCTACCTTTTGTGGATGATTCCTGTAACTATAATTTTTAAAAATTCAATTTCTTTAAAGAAGAACTTGGGACCTGCCTGAGTCATGTGGTCTTATCCTGTCCCAGATCTGGTGGGTAACTTTTCAAATCCTGGATTGGTTACCATAATTGCTTATATGTAGGATAAGTGCTATGGAGTTCTTTTAGTGTTGGTGGGCAATGCAAGATTAGAAATAGAACGAATGAGTTGTGTAATTTGTTGTTCACTTCATTTATGGGCATAAACATTGAGACCTTAATTGTGGCTTTTGTAAGTTCATAGACAAATTGGAAGCGATAATCTGCATGCATTTTGGAATGTTTTCTTGTGAACTTGCTCATTTTACATATAGATGCACATGACTTGTTGAAATATGGTTTTGCTTCATTGGACTTTTATCTATTATTAGGATCATGGTGCTTCTTTGGCAAATGCACCTGGTTAAAGTGCATTGTGATTCTTGCAGGGAGACATTCATCAACACATTCATGCTGCAGCTTGCAGTGTTGTCGAATCACTTGAATGGAAGGGACACACATATACGCCAGATTAGAGTTTATGGACCTCGACCGTAAGTAATATCCAATGCAGCTCTGTATTTTACTTGAAATTCATTTTTAATCAGATTAAGCCTGAGCATGTATTTACACCATCCATGCTTTCTTGCAGGAACCCAGTTCCTCACCAACCATTTCAATTTACTTCCAAGGAATTTACCATGTACTCCTCAATACGATGAACTCCATTTGTGTTTCTGTTTCACTCCACACAATGTTAGCTTTCTTTTAATAGTTTAGTCACCCTAACTGAGGCATTATCTTCATAATGTTACTAGTCCTTTACAAGTATCCTTTCTTTGCATTTTTTAAAATCATGCTTATCAATTTCTGTATAATAGGTCTTCCTCAAAAAAACAAAATCTGTATAATAGGGGTCCGGGTTGGTTATGTTGTTTGCTGAACTGATTTAATGAATTAAGCTTGTGCTTGTCAAACAAAGAAGTTTTGCTTCACCATATAGCTGAAAAAAAAAAAGATTATGGAATTTGTCTAGCTCATTTAGGGCACAAAAGTGTCATTCACATCATTTGTAGGTGACATTTCTTGGAGATGCTACATTTTTCATGAAAATAGATTCGAGAGCAATGTCATCCCTCGTGGTGGTTAATAATACAAGTGTACCATAAAATAGCTCATTTGAGGATATTTCCTGTAGTGCCAAGAGGATTCTAGTGTTCCTTGTGTAAGCCATGTTATGGAGAAATAACGTAAGGTAATGACTTTATCTATTGCACTTCCACTGATGAGAGTGTTGGTTATACTTAGGAGATTAAGAGAAATTGGTTGGAAAGATAGTTGTAAATCTAAGAAAGGAGGCCTAGGTTTCAGAAATTAGAAGGCACGAACTTATCCCTAATTGGTAAATTGAGTTGGAATCTTGCTTGTTCATTGTCCTCCATGGAGACCGTTCTAGTGGAGGGAGGAATATATCAAAGAAAATGAGATTTGAGAAATTATCGCTTGCCAAAGGCCATTCTTGGGTTTGGTAGAGTAGTACCACATCTTGGGACTTGCTTTAAACATGTGAAAATGGCTTCTTGGTAATGTTTAGCACCTGTTCTTTTGGTAGGGGCTTAAGTGAAGGGGGCTTGCGAATTTTTTGGAAAATTCATTGGCATTGGGGCTGGTTTTGGAAGATACTATTGTAATTATGGCCCTTTCAAGGCCTTAAATCCAAGATTCCTTTGCTCAGTGGGATTGAGTGAACCTGATTCTAGGTGCTTGGCTCATTGGGGCATATAATCATATACCCCAAGTACATAGGGCAATGATATTCATCGATGAGAGAGAGAGAGAGAGAGATTGCTTACAAAGGTGTGAGGATCACCTTTGAGTTAGGGATATCCCTAGATTGTATGCCTCATGGATGATGTGCTGGCCAGAGCTAAGAGAAACAAGAAGAGCTTAGAACCTGAGTGCCTTAAGTGTGATGTTTCTATATAGGATGGTCATAACTCATGGGACATGAGTCCATACCGTGACACAATACTACCCCATGGCATGTCCACCCATAGTCACATGGGAAGCCAATCTTTTAATCAGTAATCCAACTAGGAAGAACTAGTGCACATGTGCCTTGAGAGGACCTCTGTATATGAGTATTTATATGACCCTAGGGGTGCACCTGTAATCCACTAACACCCGAGAATGATGGGACATTGTTTGGGGTGACTTTGATAAAGCCACATTATATGTCCTGCTATAGATTGTGGAGCATAAGCTTGTCGAGTCATTATGAGAGAATGGACTATCCTTCTAGAGTAGCCCAGTGGAGTACTCTAGTAACCTAGATTTCAAGCCTAGAGATCTCATTTGCCATTTGGTCATTTTATTTTGATGCAACAATGAGTATTTATGATCGAAAATGATTTATGGATTTTTGAGAATTTTTTAAATTTTTTGAATTTTTTTAGGAACATGAAAAGGGAGTTTTTAACTTTGTATTGCCCAAATTCCAAACAAGGACAGCTAGTGGGGTGACTTAGATGCCACCCAAGTGGTCATAGGGACGACATGTGACACCGCCATAGGCCCACCTAGGGCTAATGTCATGATAACGTTAAACCCATATGGAGGTCCTTCCTTGTTATTTGCTGATTTGTTAAATTAAGTTATAAAGTTTTAAATGAGTAAAATGTTTTGTAAGTTGACTTAATTAGTCACATGTGTTTTTGGTACACGTGTAATCTTATTCACATGTGCTTAGGATTTTGGGCATGCTACGAAATTTTGGCTTAAACCTTAATCCATGAGAGAAGTGAATTTTTTGAAGTGGCTTTTTGTGTGGCATCACCTTATTGGCTTAAGCCCATGTGAATTTCATGAAATGACTTCATCCCATTGGATGAAAGCAAGATATTTTCAAAATTATTTGAGGGGCATGCCCCTACTTATTCATTCCTTATTTAATTTCAAAATTCACCATGGGCACTTTTGGAATTGAGAAATCACATTTGTGAAAAAATTTTCTCTACAAAAGACAATTTGGTAAAATGGCTAATCTAGGGTTTCTTTAAGGAATGATAACGGTGTGAAATCTTATCCTTTGATGTTGATGGGTAGACAAGTATGAGTGGCTCGGATCAAAGCCCTCTCATGTGCCATAGATGATGAGCATCAAGGGCCATGATCTATTCAGTTCACTTGAATTGCCTCCTCCCCCTCCCACTCCCACGCCTTATTCTCTACACACTTGAGAACTTATTTTAGAGAGGGCAGAGAGCTGCACGCCCCCCATGGTGCTTTCTTGTTCCTTGTTCCATCCTGTGGTGAGTTTTGCTCAGCATAGCCATTGAAGCTTCCTCTCATGGTGTCTAGGACTTGAGGTAACTTCCATAGCTTCATTCCTTTATTTTCTAGAATAATTTGATCATCTTCTTCTTGCTTGTAAGTTCTATTTTACAATAGCCTCTTCATACTTGTACGCTTGAGTATTCATAAATCTTAAGCCCCTCGTGAAACTATGCATTTATATCATGATATGTGCATAGTCTGGTTCAATACTTTACACCTAGACACCATCTTCTTGTTTTTCATCACCTAATTTTTTTGTTAGATTTCTTTTAGCATATCAGCAAACATTTGTGTGTATCTGAGTACCATTTTGTTGGCCCTTGATCCTTTATTTCCTTAAGTCTATGGCCATATCCACTCATATAGTTCAAGTTTTTTGTAACTGACTTTTGCTCACTATTTTGAACATCAAAAGTTTCTCAGTTTCATTTTAAAGTTAATCTAGTGCATTTCAAGTGTGGATAAGCTTCGCATTTGAAAAGTGAGATCAGCCATTGTGATATGAGCTATCCTTGCCTTCATCCGTGCCCCGATGAGGTTCACTTGTGTGACCCAGGCACAAAGCGTTCGACCATCTGCATCCCACTATTATTTTGCACTTAGTTTATGTAACTATGAGTTCATTTGTGTTTTATGTGATTAAGAGTTGGTTATGTAAAGTTTGAGGTTGGTTTATGTGAAAGTGAAAAATGTATGTGCAGTCTATGTAAAAGTGTATGTGCTAAGTGATATAATTTTCTTCTATGAGTACTATGTGTTTGTTTTTATGACCTGGGGACTCCATAGTTGCATTTCTTTCCTTTTTAGTGGTATTTGAGTATTTGTAAATAAAAAATTGTGGCTGTAATAGTGAGTGAAGTTGTTTGAGAAAAAAATGTTTGTAATGATTTTAAGTAACTAGTACAAGTATTGTAAAGGAGCAATCTAGACTCTATATCACCATACTTGCAAGTATATGAAGACAAGTTTGATGATGGGCAAAAACTGATAATGGTTTGCGTTTCGTGAGGCTTCCATACAAAGTTATCTACTGCTTGGCAAAAAATTTGGGAGCGTGGTCATCCTTGGACAGTTTGATATAGTTGGCTTGCTTCCATTGCTGCTCACCTACTATGGATAGACTTCAACAACATTGGATTGGCAAAGAGATATGTCCAATGTGGGATTGAATCTGAACACCCTGACCACTTGCTACTGCAATATGGATTCTCAAACTTTTTATGGAAAATATTTTCAGCAAAGGCCAGATGCGTACTCTCTAGAGTTCAGCCTGTCGCATCTTAATTTGGGAGACACAGAAGTAGAGAAATATGTGCATATTTGAGAGTGAATCCTAGACTCGGGAGCATCTTCTACTAGATTTGTGATGGAGAGTAAGGGATGTGATTTTTTTACTCTTCCTGGTCCTAGCAGTGAGGTTAAATTAGGGTTGGAAGACTATGCATCCTCAGCCCTATTTGATGAAAGAGGTGGTTTGGATGACAATTCTTTTTTGGGTCAAAGACAAACTTAATAAGATTGATCAGGCACCAGGAGAAGTCAGATTTTGAAGGTATTCTAAGGGGTTACTCGGGGAATTTTTGGAGTCCTTTGCTGGACCTGTCAAAGCCTCTGGTAATGATGCTGAATTGCATGCCAACATGGTAAGGTTCTTAGGGCATATGCACTCCATTTCCATGGGTCTTGGATAGAGGCTTATTCCTACTCATCTTTAATTAGTGTTTTTGGTGAATATGAGCAGGATGACGTTCAAAAGGATGGTTGAATCCATATGTTTATGCCCTCATTTGGAAAACTTTAGGATTAGAGCCATCTATTTCTCTACCCATTTAAGTGTGACAGACATCCTGGTTTGATCCGCTGCTATTTACAGGCATGTCTGTCTTTTATACTTGCATATCTAGAGAAAACTGACAAAACACCATTATGACTGAAAAATTGATCCTGGTTGACCTCTATTCCGAAAAGTAGTATACAGTTTTCAGGATTGCATATAAAGTTGGCTATTTTCTCTGATATAACTTTTGACATGTCCAAACGGGGTTTTACCATGCAAAAGATGCAGACCTTTAAATATGGTGCTCCTCTTCCATGGATGTTTTCCCTATGGTGCCGTGTAATAACCCCGATGGTCCAGAGTAACCTCTCACTGTCTCATAAGCTTTGCTTCTCTCTCTCCCCTCTCTCTCTCTAGGGAGGAAATGCTGACTCCCACATAAGAAATCAAAGCATGCCATAAAATGACTTCCACATTCAACAGAAGAGAAAAGGAAATTCAAATTTTTATTAATGAGGTTTCAATGTAAACTTGCTATAGACTCCCTCTACCTCTTCTTTCTTCATATTTTCGAGAGAAAAGACGTTTTTATTTCTTTTGAGAAAATTTCTTTCCTCATATTCACTCTTTCCAAAATTTAAAAGAAGCATACCCTCTATATCTATGGTCATAAATGGACAGTGTGCATACAGATAGTGACTCGTGATACTCTATTCCAGTTCTGAAATTGCATTCTTGAAGCAAAGATAAGCCCACCAAAAATTGAATGGGAAATTAAACTGCAAGAGATGGAGATGGGAGTTCCCAGTAGATTTAGGCAAGGGTAAGAAGAACCTGTAAAACAAGGATTCCAAAACCTCTTGAAATTTTGGGTTGTTAACGGCAGAAAAAAATAGCATTTTCTTGAATTTTTGTAACTAATGCATTTATTTGTATAGTGATTTAAAAAACGGATTGCTCAGTGCTTGGGTGGCCGCTTAGGCAGGCCAGCGCTTTGGCATAAGTAGCCAAATTAGGCGAATATCTTTGGGTGCCGTCTAGGCGCTCGGGAACCCGCCTAGGTGGCCGCTTGAACCTGCCTAGGCACCTGCCCAGGGTTGTGCCTTGCCTAGGGGTGGGAATGTTCTTTGTTGAGAGCAATTTTTTATCATTTTTTTTAATACTAAAAAATAGTGGGTTTATAGGTTCATTATAGCCTATTTTAGGGAGAGAAGGGTAACAATTTATTTCTTTCTATTGGGCCGGCTGCTCAGGTTTTGGGTGCTTGCCTTAGTGTTGCGCGGGCTAGACCCCCTGCCTAGCGCTTTTTGAAACATTATATTTGTAACACCTACCAAAAACGAAAAGACATGTTAATCTAGAATATTAATAGTGTAAGTTGAAAATTACTAGGAGTGTCAAGGTATTAGACAGGTTGATGTTTGGTTAAATCTACATAACCTTGTCCAATTAAAGGTTGTCAAGAGTAGACCTTTGGGAAGATGGGTTCCTCCAATACATGGCTCGCTTAAATTGAACCTGACGGAGTTCGATTGGCAATCCGGGTGATGCAGGGCTTGGAGGTATTGTGTGAGAGATTTTTTGGGAAATGTCATATTTGGTTTCTCGTGGCCTCTAGTTGTGGCAATAGCCAACCATGCTGATTTAGCTGCACTTCAAGGGCTTAAGATATCCTCAAATCTAAGAACTTAGGGCTGCCACGTATTGTGGAGGGTGACTCCTTGAATGTCATCAAATGATGTACAAAAGAGCAAAATGTGTCTTGGTATGTAGAACCGTTGTGTGAGATTGTAGATTTGGTTGGGGGTTTGATGGTGTCTTTCCAATATGTTTCCAGGGAAGCAAATGCTTGGGCTGATTCTTTAGCTAAGAAAGGAGTGTATTCGTCTTTGATTGCGTCTCTGATAATAAAGTTTTTAGCATTGGTAAAAAAAAAAAACATGTAAAACAAGGATTCCTAAACCTCTTAATATGAGAGATTAAGAGCTAAATCAATTTTTGCAACATGTTAAGATCTACATTTTTGAAAATTTTAATTGTTGGGGAGACAAAATTAGATCTTGAATTTTTTTTAAGGAATGCATTTAATTTGTACCAAGCTTGTTCTCTCTCTTTACATTTGGATTTTTCCCTTGATCAATTTTTTATAAAATATGTAGATTAACTTTGCACATATTGTTAAAGAGAGTTGAAATCGAATCCTTGGAGATCCGCTGTTGGCTTGCGCAAAAATTTTGGATGCCAAGCTTTTCGATGTGAGCTACGAACAGATCCCACTGATGCTTTCCAAACAAATGGCATTTCTCATACTAGAAGGATTTGTCCAAAGTCATTTATCGAACAATTTAAAAAATCCCCAACATATTCGAATTGCAAGTGTCATCTATGGCGCTCTCTGGCTTTGGAATCCATCAGCTTGTTGGGCCATAAGCAGTGACCTAACATGACATGGCTGCAGATCATGTGTAAGAGGTGCCTGATCATAAACCTGGTTGGGCTGTTGACTATAAATAAGGGATTGAATTTGAAATGTGCAACCACCAAAGACATGGGTTATTGTAACAGCCATAGGACATGTAAGCGTGGGTGTTTTCCTAAGCAGATGGTTGATTGGGCATCTGAGCCGGGTAGCTATTTATGTTTGAATTAACATGCACGGACAGTAATGACCATTGGAGTGGATTCACTAGACCTGTATCACCCATAATGAGCTATGAAGGCAATCATTGATGGTGGGCTAGTGTAGTTGGCACATTACATGCTGGGCAGTAATGTGTGCACAGACCTCAATGGCCGATGTAAATGAGGGTAACTCTGTGGTTACACACCGTGGCCATATCAGCACCTTACTTGGACCCTTGAGGTGTAACTGTATAAGACCAAGTGTATAGTGCCCGTGCCCTAAGCTCGAACTACACCATTTATCCATTGCTTCTCTGTACCTTGCGTGTATGGTTGTTCCGTTTGCGTTCGTTTGGTTTTGAATTAGGCTTGGCTTTGCAGTGTTGGCTAAGAGGAAAGTATCCCCCCTGATAACATGAATACTGGAAGAAGTGAAGGATGAGGATTGGTTCACCAAAGAAAGCTTTATCCTAAAATAAACCACCCTTCAAAACATTTCTAAAATATATTAAAGGTCATGCTTTTTTATTTCTTTCCATGATTCATCGCTTGTAAATTTGCAATGGATCGATCAATTGGACAAATTTGAAATACTTCAGGACTCGAAGCAAATAAGGTTGGTTTCTAATTCTTGAGAAATTAGGGCTTAGGATGATGATTCCTTGAATTATGCAGGGACTACCTTGAATGATAGGGATAACCAATTGAATTTCAATCCTGTTGATTCAAATTATGGGTTCAATAAACTAAATGATGCGATCGATTAGGTCTCAAACTGGAAATAATTTAGGTGTTGTGACGATAGGGCCATGAAGGAATTAAAAGATTTCTCTCTACTGAAAGTCCAGTAGCCTTCACTGTCACCCCTATGATTGCATGATTTAACACGTTTGGCAGTTTTTTTTCCGTAAGTAATATGATTAATGTTGGGTGATTACCGTGTGGGGTTGAGCCCCATTAGGAGTGAAAAGGAAAAAAAAAAGACCCAATATAATAAGAAAGGGTTAGAGAGAGAGAGAGTTTTCTTTTAGAGAGAGAATATAGTGGATGTTTTAAAAGACAAAACAAAAGGGTTTTTAGAGAGACACCATTTTGTAAGGAAAGATAGGGTTCTTTGGAGGCTTTTGGAGAGAAGAAAGTGCAAGTTTGTAGCAAGGTTTCCATCACCATTCTCAGGTCATCCAAATGTCATTTTTGCTATCTCTCACACTCAACACTCGGCTAGAAAATCGGAACAGCTGGTGTGCTCTCCGATTGCATCTCCAAGCCATTGGAAGACCTTTTTTTTAGGGCTTTTTGATGTGGGAAAGAGATGATATTGTTGGTGTATATTCTCGAAGTTATTGTTGTTTTCTCATTTGATTGTTA